AACCTTTTTCTGTGTGTGAGGGGGGGGTTGTTTGCGGGGGGGGGGGGGGATTATTTGATGTGGATGGGGAGGGTTGGTTGCTTGTTTTTTAATCTTAGAAATATCAGGAATATCGAGTCTGATTTTGCAAGAGGATTTTTTGGAAGGCTCAGAGGTGTGAAACGCCTTTAACAGAAGAGAGGAGAGGGCTTAATTCTTTAACTGAGAATGTTTTTCTCCCATCTGTGCTTTGGACATTAGAGTTAAATGGATGTCAACCCAGAAACAAAGCCTGAATTAAAAAAAATAAAATAAAAACTTGTCACCAAAGAGAAATCGATGGGTGTCACCAGCCATAATCCAGCCCCCCCCCCCATCCTTTTCTTGGGGGAAAACCATGGTAAATGGATCTAAATTTTGATTAACAGCAGTTCTTACCTAGAATTAGAGAGAGAATCTTTTCAGGACTCTTTTTAAATCTGTCAGATAGAAACGTAAAAAGAGCACAAGGCCTGTGTGGTTTTTGTCTCTCCTAAGCCTGTGGCCTGCCCTCCCCAGAGCTGGCTGCCCCACAAGCCCCGTGGCATGGGAGGAGCTTTGCATAGAGCCTGTCTGTCAGATAGAAACGTAAAAAGAGCACAAGGCCTGTGTGGTTTTTGTCTCTCCTAGTCCACGAGGAAGAGCCTTCCCTGTCCTTGTGCTAACACTGCCGCAGGCTGAATTCTGTCCGATAGCATGTCGTAGCCTTTTCTGACCCTGACTTGTGTTCCCTGTAAGCGGTGCGCTTGTGCGGCTGCTCAGGAGAAATTCAAATGCTGCCCCACTGATTAGCAGAGCACCCACAGCTGTTTCTCTGGGTGGTGCACATTCACACATGCCTCGGTGCACATAAAATTATTCCACACATGGATGGGGAGGAAATTCCTGGGGAGGCTACTGGTCCCTGCAAAAATCCCTCCCTGTCCCCCTCCCTCACCTGGGATCCCTGGAGGCTGTTGCCTTTTCCTGAGAGCCCGAGGGGGATGGATGGCAGGGCCTGGAGGGGCCCATGGCTCGGGG